GTGTCGTGTGCAAGCTATGCGCGCACATGTTATTCAACGATACGATGTTGATGCCTCGGTTCTCCGTTCAGAACCCGATGTAGGTGGACACGTAGGGGTAATTGGCAACAAACTACGCGGATGAACGTCGTTCTGCCAGCCGTATTCCTTATTATTCCCCGATGAGCTAGGCGTTTCCTTCGAGTATATCTCGTTTCCGATATACGCCGCGCTGTATTCCTCTTTTGTCTGGAATTTCTCGTCGTTTGTGCTCGCGTCCGACGACTTGAACCAACGACTCCTCGCCGAGTAGGTTCGAGGGATCGTTTGCTCGATTCGAGAAGTAAAGCTTTGCTTTCGCTTTTGCGAAAAGAGAGCTGTTTTCGTAGAAACAAACTGTCTGACTGGACAGTTGATTATTTCTATCTATTTTACAAAACAAGGCTGGTTTCTAACAACTACACAGTTGATCGTATTCATTTATTTTTTTAGCTATTTTGCAAAATGATCTTGTTTCAAAGGCTGATTTCGTAGAAAGAACTGGACACACATAGTTGATTATTATTTTTATCTATTTTACAAAATAAGGCTGGTTTCTAACAACTAGACAGTTGATCATGTTCATTTATTTTTATATCTATTTTGCAAAATGAGGGCTGCTGATTTCGTAGAAAGAACATAAATAGTTGATTTTTATTTATTTTTATCTATTTTACAAGAGGTTTAGGTTAGGTTAGGTAGAAACGACTAAATGGTCGATTGCTTTTTTACTTATTTTTATCTGTTTTGCAAAAAGAAGGCTGGTTTCCTAGGTATCAACTGAACAGTTGATTATTTCGATTCATTTTTATTTATTTTGCAAAAGGAGGGCTGGTTTCGTGTGAACAATGAAACACAATTGAACTGATTCTTTTTACTTACTTTTATCAATTTTACGAAAAGAGGGCTGATTTTATGGACGGTTGATTATTTTTGTTTGCGCAAACGTAACACTGAAATACCAAAGATGCAGTATTTTCGCAATGGAGCGGAAAAGGTGGTTGGACGAAGTTAGATGAAGTTGGCTGGTGGATCCACC